TTAGTTTTTGTTATTGGAAATAACGTTTTCTTTTATTTTATTTTTGATTTTATTGATTTTAGTTTTGTTTGTTTACTGATAAATAAACTGATGCCTTGAATAATAACCATAAAAAACCTTCTGCTACCTAAAAATTTGCAGATTAATAAAGAACTACTCGTTACAATATCTTTAATTTTAAAATTTTCTGTAATCTAGATTGTAGTGATTCTAAGATATCTGTATATTTAGCTTTACTAGACTAGAAATCTATTATAAGAGAAATATTTTTGACTATTTAGATAAGAAAATTTTATAAATTTTCTTGATTATATTTATAACTTTTAATAATCATAATTCTAATCTATTTTTCTTCTAGTATAATAAAAGAAAGATCAAATTTAGCTATTTTTTCTTTGTATATATTATTAGTAACTATAGAAAAAGGCTAGTTTATAGTAACATCTGCTTAAAAATTATTTCTTTTAAATATAATTAGAATAGAAACAAGGCTTTTATACAAAGTTTTTAATTTTAGAATGTTGTAGCTAAAAAAAAAAAATTTAATAAAAAATATAAAAAATAAAAAAATAAAAATAAAATATAACTAGGTCTGGCAATCTTAGTGTAGTAGTTAGGTTACTAGACTACTATATAAGAGGTTTGAAATTCAAATCCTACTGTTAATGAATTTGAATAATTATCTGAACCTTTGTACCTAACTTATAGTAAACCCTGTTTGTTTCTAGAGTTGTAACCCTGTAAATCACATTGTACTAATATTATCTGAATATTAGAAGTATGATATAATGTTTGGAGAGATGTAACATTACATAAAATCTTAATAGGATCTACAAGCAGGAGACCTGCATAGTAGAAACTCTGAGTTAGTGAAGTAGTACTACTTTTGATAGTTAAACCAGCTAATACTTAATTCAGAAAGACATAGTGTTCAAAGACTTTAATCAAGTTAGATGTATATAAGTCTGTATTGCAGTAGTAATTACTATATGTTACAGTAGCACTAACTTAGCTTGATAGCTAACTAATTTAGGAGAATCTAACTCATAATAGGCTTCAATAAGATCTGTAAATAATACTAGTGGAGAGCTACAGTAAGAACTGGAATTGTACAAATATCTATAAAGATCTAAACTTGATGAATCTATGAAATGAATACAGACTACTTTAGTAGATATACTTCTGAGGTTAACCAGAACTCTGCATACTCATATATTAGGTAAATATGTATCCAAAGAAGATCTAAGTCATGCAGTAAATAGATCTACAAGCAATTCAGCTAACTTCAATAGTTGGATATAGTGATGATATTAGTTTAAAATAGGAGGAAGAATTAATGATCAGAGTGTTTAAATAAGCAACTCACAGATAGGTTGTAAGTATGACAGTATAGTATAGAACCAACAGATGGTCAATCATCTGTATAGTGAACTACTTAAATTAGACAATGACTAAAATTATACGTGTGGCTTGTTGTATACTCATAATGTAATTATAAAACCTTAGAAGATTACTACTATAGTAACTCTGTAATAACAAATTAATAAAATCTAATCAGCAAAGGAAGCTATCTTAATAATAAAAAATAAAATAAAATAAAACCTTTAGTTATTTTTTTATTTTATATACATTTTTTACAACATTCACTTCATCTTGTGAAACGAGTTCATGACTGATTCTTATTAAAATAAAAAACAAGTTGAAAAAAAATTTCAAAAAACATATTTTTAGATATATTCTTTATTTGGAATAAAAGACCAAATTTTATTAATCTAAAAGTTTATTTGATAAGCTATTAAATCAATAAAGACCAAAGATAATTTATATACAAATAAGAAGTTGGTTTAAATTGTCCGAATTATCCCGATCGGAAAATGTAGAAGGGTGATATTACTGGCAAAAATCTATATACTAAATCTAATAAAATTATATCTGCAAAAATAGGATGCCTTAAAAAAAAAAAAAAAAAAAAGATTAGGTAAACAAGATTATTTAATAATTTAAGATTGGTTTATTTATATCGTATCATAAATATAAAAAGAGTTTATAAGACTAGATAAAAAAAATAGTAAACTTGAAACCAATTGTTTTTTTTTTTTATTTCAAGAATCTGCATTAAAATTAGAGAGACTTTGACTGTATATTCTACTTTTATTCTACACCATTTTTTGAAAAATTTATATATGATCTCAATATTGAAATCATCAGTATATTAGTTATAATCATTGTTATAATTGGAATTAAAAGTCTCACAAAAGAATAGAAATAAAACTTTATATATTCCTATCGTTTATTATATTTATAAAAATCTTATCAAATTCTACATATAATCCTATTTCTTGTTTAATTTAAAATCTTGGGCATAAAATCAATAGTTTTTAAAAAGAAAAAAATATATATTGTTCTTGAATAAATAAAAAGGAAAAGCAATGATTAATTGCTTTGAAGTGAAGAAAAAAAGTTATTGTCCTTTGAAAAAAAAACAACATAAACTGTATTGCTATATCATTACAATGTTGTTTAATAAAAAAAAATAAAAAAAGTGGCGAGCCCATCTTATGCCCATAAATACAACAAATGTTACAAAAAAAAAAATACAGGCCACCCAAGAAATGTTTGGGTGAAAAAGACGAAAGTGTAAATACAAAATAAAAAAAAAGGTAAAAAAAGGAATTTTTCTTTTTTTTTTTAAAGGTTTATATGCTCATTATGTGTATATCCAGCATATTGTATGAACAATAAACAAATTGTATAAATTGACGATAAATCGAAAAGAATAAAATTGAAATAAACAAGAAATAAAAATATGTAAATCAAATAAGAATACATCGAGGCAATGGACAAGTTGATATTTATAAAATCCATTCCCTATGATACGCTACCGAAAAAAGATGCTAAAGATAATGTCGAATATCGTTTTTCCCGGTTTGGTTTAGAATTTATTTCCTCAGGTTCGAAAGGAACCAAATCCGAAATGTCACTGAAACCATTTATCAAATTATTTAATTCTTCTAGTTGTGTGCTCATGGCTTCCCTAGCTGCTTCACTTTGAACAAGTAATGATTTAACATGTTTCAACATCTGTTCCGCATTATCTGCTCGTTTTTTCGCGATACATTCACCTATGCATTCTGAAATTTGTAAATCTGAGTTCCTTCTTTTTGTGTTATTTTTAGGTCCTGTGTCCGTACCAAAGAAACTCAAGAATGAAACACGTCGATTAGTTGTAGATTTGTTATTTATATCACGGATTTCACGAATTTCGTGGATTTCTCTTTCTTCATTTAAATTAGTTCCTTGTTTTAGTTCTTTTTTGAGCCTTTCATTTTCCGTGATAAGTTTTGCATTCTCTGATCTCAGATTCTTCACTTCTTTTACGTCATTCTCCATTGTACTTTGCTCATATAATGCTTGTGTAGCTTCCTCATCAAGTCGTTCTATTTCTTCTCGTAAAAAGACATTTCTATCTAACAATTGACTTTGTGTCAATGTAGCATTTTCCATCGCGACTTCCAATTCTTCAACGCGTTTGACTAATTCTATGTTTTCTTGAATTAATTCCCATTTTTCCTCTTTTACTCGTTCGAGCTCTTCAGCCATTGTGGTTTCACTCATAAAATCTTTCTTAAATTCATGCGTCCAATTATCTGTATTAGTATCATGTACTTTTTCGTTACCTAAAGTCGATTTCTGATTAGGCATCGTGGTATATGTTGATTCGGATAGATGTTGTGTTTGTGAATTTTTTGATTTGAAAGCTTCATGTTGTTTTATGAAAAATTCTGCCTTCGATAAAGAGGGTGGAGTTACTGGTGATGATATTCTAGTCGTTCGTTCAGAATATGAATTTTCATCATTTAAAGTAGTTGTAGATTCAATTGAATATATTGAATCTGTTGACATTCTCTTATTTTCTTTTTCTAAACCTTTTAATTTCGATTTTAATGATTCAATTTCTGTTATAAAGTCCATCTTTTCCATTTTAATGGTTACTAGTTGTTCGGTAACATCTACATGTTCTTTTTGAAGAAGCGATAGTGCTGTCACGAGATCTTCTATCTGTTGATGCAAAATTCCAATATTTGCACTACTTGGTGAAAGTGGTGTTGGGATTGAGGCTTGAGAAGATTCATTTTCCGATGTAGACAAATCGCTAGCTGTGCTAGAAGAATCCCTCGAACTTGGAAGAGCGCTGAATGTCCAACGTTTAGGTTTGTCACGTTTCTCACGGCTCTTCTTCTCCTTTTTGTTTCTACCAAACCTTCCATTAAACCTAACTGCAACTAATTCATCTGCCCTCTTCTTTTGTTCATCCAATTCCTTGACATAGATCTCTGAGAGTTGATCCAATTTGGCTTTTGTAATCACTGAACTTAAAGCCATGGCATCATGTATTAATCCAGTAGGTTCATTATTGTATGACTCGTAGAGACTTGATGTAAGAAAATCTAACAAATCCTCAAATTCCTCAAGTTCAAGCAATTTAGCTTCATTCTTTTGTAACAGAGCAACAGCGACACGCATGATCGTTTCAGGCGCTCCTTCAGCGAATACGATATCATAAATTCGCAAGACAAGTGGCAAGGGGTATGTGTAAGCAAAAAGGGACAAGAACCATTGAGAAGCAAACATGGCTACATTGACCCCGTATTCAAGGAAATGTGCATGAAGATTAGGAAGAATTTGTGAGAGAAGAGCGGAAAATTGGTAGTGTCTAAGCTGAAGTCCTTCCATGTTAAGTGTGAACATGGTTCTCATATCATATGTTTCCATCAATCTATTAATAATTAAATATATATATATATTAGACAAAGTAAAATTTATCGAAAAAAGCAGACAACAGATAAATTACCTAACGAAAACACAAAATGCTTGAACTTCCTTCATCTAATATTATTTAATAGAATTAATATTAGTTTGACGGTATAAATATAAATTACCTAACTTGTACTTGCATACACTTACATTCATTAATAGTGGTCCAACCAAAAACCCGAGACCTTGACAATATCCTACCAAGGGATCATAAAGACTATAAGCCTTTAATACATTCCAGAGCATCGTTTGTCCTTCACCATTTTCTTCTTTAAACATTTCTATAGAAGGAAATGTTCTAGCTAAATCTCGTTGAATTATTTTATCATAAGGAGAAGATTCCGTTAAAAGTTGAGAATACATCGTTTCGAGATAAGTCGAAGAAGCCTGGCTCATAGATTGCCAAACCAAACCTCTCAATTTTGGAGGTAAACCTTGTTGTAACTTTGCTGCAAGAAGATGAGGAAGCTTTGCTGCCACTGAAGTGTAATCTTGAATTATTGCAGTCCAAAAGTCCAAATCAATGATATCAGAAAAATCTTCATTTTCAAGAACAGGAATTATTTCATCCGAAACATCTTTTACTGTTAAGTTTGTGTTATTGTTGATAAGGGATTGAACTGTTTCTAAGTTGGCTTTAAGGACATTAGATTTAATGCAAACTGATTTAGGATCGCTATCCAGCATTTCATTTTGACGTTCGAGACGTGCAAGAAGGAATTCTGTAGAATCCTAAAAAAAAAAACAAAAAAATGAATACAAAAATGTTAGCATAAACATAAAATTATAGAATTTTGGGAGGATTATATTCGAATTTACCTGTGGAGGCAATTGAGAATTTTGTTCTTCCAATCTTGCAAGTAATTCTTGATTAAGTTCTCCTTTAGGTAAGACACCCAAAGCAGATGGCGCCTTTTTGGTTTGAGTCCTTACAGTGGAGCCACGGCGAACTTTAGAAGAGAACGATGGTTGCTTTGTACTTTTTTTTTGAGTATTTGTCGCAGTAGATTGATTATCCTCATCCATATTACCGTTAGACTTTGAAGAAAAAGGTTCTGAACGACGTAATTCTATTATTTTAGGAGACACAAGCTGGAGGTTTGCTAATGAATCAGATGTAACGGTAGACCTCAAGGGAGACTGTTTTGGTGGATCAATAGGACGATTTTTGGCAGTAAGGTTTAATTTTGGAGGTGCTGAACGTCTTTTACTTAATGATTTATTATTTTCTGAGGAATTATCATCTATAGTTGAGATAGGCTCATTTTTTTGTTTTCGAGAATTTACATTTTTAATTTTAGGAGTTGATGTAACTTTTTTTTTATCTATTTCTGTCTTTGCATTAGATTTTGGTTTTTCTTTTGCAACATTAGTCTGTTTTGCTTGCGCAGAAGTCAAATTCGACTTGTTTAAAACCTGTATAGCATTTGATTTGGAGCGAGATGCGATTTTTACCGAGGATTTCTCTTCATTACTACAAATTTTATCATGGGTATCCTGCCCTATTGTAATATTTGTATTCGTATCTACATCATTTATGCTATTTGTAATAGTTAAATCTTTTTCTAATATCTGTCCTGCAGAAGAAAGTTTTAATGATACATCGTTTGATGTCAAACCTTCCTCGTGGTCAACACTTATTAAAATTTGTTGCTGGGAATTTTCTTTAATAGTCTTTTTTGAAGGCATTTCTTTATCTGAATAATAATGATAATAATAATAACAAAAAAAAAACAATAAAAATAAAAAGAATAATAAAAATAATAATTATTGCTTCAAAAAAAAATTTAATCGATAATAA